TCGAGAAAGGCAGAGGTCAACTGGTGTTCTGTCCACAGCTGTCCTCTATGTGACCACCCAGGAATGGGAATGAAGACACAGCAGGGCGTGTGGCAGGGCAGAAAGTGCTGTTACACACACACACACGCACGCGCACACACACACACACACGCACGCGCGCGCGCACACACACACACACACACACACACACACACTTCCCAGTGTAGTCCAGTGGAGAACCAAGAGGAAACTGAGGCTCAGGAGGGATAAAGGGCCACGTCCCGGGTGCCTGACTCTGCGTGATTGTGGAGCCAGCGCTGGGGATGGTGAGAATGGTGCCTCTTCCATAGACTGCTGTTGCTGTGCGCCTCTGAGGCAAGGTCAACTCATAGTTGACCCTCCAGCGGGCTGGCAGAAGCAGTGACCTGCATGAGGGAAAACTGCTCCTCTTTCTCCTGAAAAGCAGCAGGTGGGCTCCAACTGTGTGCCTTTGGATTGACAGTGCAGCGTCTTACCACTATCAACCTCTATCGATCCCTGTAACAAGTTATACGAACTCTTAGAAACAGGTTCTTGTTGACAGAACAATGGTGCCTGTGTCAGAGAGCCATTGTAAGATTCAGCTCTGCTTTCTCCACTCGGCACTACAGGCACCTGAAGAAGGAAGATTCTTGGTGGAGGAAGGGGTCCTGTGCAGTGTGAAGTGTGGAGGGCACTTCTGGCCACCACCACCACCTGCCAACACTGTCCTCCCAGCACCCACAAAAACCCCGACCTAGCTGCCTCATCAATTTGTACATGCACATGAGCAAGGCTAAAGCACTCTGCACACGGTTCATTTTCAGCTTCCTACCATTTCAATCACTTATTATGCATCTGAATGTGGGAGCACGAATAAGGACGACAGAAGAAGAGTTGACGTCTTCGAGCTGTGGTGTTGGAGAAGAGTGCTGAGTATGCCGTGGGCGAACAAACATGCCTTGAAGGAAATGGAACCAGATGCTCCTCGGAGGCAGAGACAGTGACACTTCATCTCACAGACTCTGAGCATGTTATTACGAGGGGCCAATCCTTGGAAGAGGACGTCATGCTTGGAAAGGAGGAGGGTCAGCGAAGAAGGGAAGGCCCTCGGAGAGGTGGACTGAGCCCGTGACCGTAACAATGGGCTCACGGATACCTGAGGCGGTGAGGATGGTGCAGGGAGGCTTCAGAGCTCTTGTTCACAGGGTCTCTGTGAGTCATGCTGGACTCAATGGCAACTCACAAGAAGCTTGTTGTTTCCAAGGTGCTCTGGTGGTGTAGCTACATTACGTATTGTCCTGACAACTGAAAGTGGGTGGTTCAAAGCCACCAGCTGCTCTGTGGGAGCAAGATGTGTTAATCTGCTTCTGTAAAGATTTCAGCAGGGGGGGTCCCCGTGAGGAAATTCTACCCTGTTGTACAGGATCGTGCATTAGAACCGACACAAGGATGTACTACAGTGAGTCATTTCTTTGTAACTTCAGTTTTCAATCTTATCTTGAAAAATGTCCATATATATCCTGACACCAAATCCTTAACATATTGAAGAAAAGGGGGGGGAGAGATTAAACAAAAGGAGGAACGCCACAATCTAAATTAAATAAAGTTTTGTCTTCTAGGAAAAAAACTGATTTGGCCAAGAAGCCCCTACTTGTTGCATGTTGACTGGGTGAAGATACCTGATACCATGGGAGCAACAGGTGGCCCCTTCTCTCAGGAGACACCGTGGTGCTTTTCATAGATCAGCTTCTACTGAGTTTTCCTTGTAGCCATCTCGCTTCAGACTCACACGACTGCTGTAGCTTCACCAGTGTGACCCAAAAGTCATCTAAAGCTGCTAAATTATTCTTTCTTTTAAGATTTGGATTTTAAGATATTTTTTCTCATTTAATTGGAAAAAATGGTTCTATCTAATTCTCCAGTACAAAAGAGTTAATAGTAGAACTTGACTATGAATTATGTTTCAATGTGAAGACCACAAACATCCTCACAACTGGACCAACACACAAGATCATGATAAACAAAAAATACTTCAAGGGTGTCCGGGATTTCATTTTACTTCGCATCCACAATCAACACAGAAGCAGCAGTCAAGTAATCAAGTGACTTATTGTATTTGGCACACACACACTGTCAAGGACCTCCTTCAGATGCTAAAAAAGAAAGGATGCCAGTGTAGAGACTAAGGTGCTCCTGACCCAAGCCTGGATATTTGCAGTTGCTTCACGTGCATGTGGAAGGTGGGCAATGAAGCCTGAAAAAGTGTTCCCTTTGAGCTGTGTTGGCAAAGAATACTGGAGAGTCCACGGAATGCCAAAAGAACAGACGACCTCTTCGAAGTGGGGCAGCCAGGACGCTTGTTAGAGGCTGATGGGACTTTGTCTTGCATACTTTGGGCATGTGAACAGGAGAGAGCAGCCCTAAGACGGGTAAACATCCTTGGAAAGGCCGAGGGTCAGAGAGGGAGAGGAAGAATTTCAATGACACGGACGGATGTGGTGGTAACTCCGCACATGTGGCACATTGGTGCTTGGGAGGCTAGCGCAGGGCTCGGCAAGGTTTTGACCTGTTGTATGCAGGGTCAGTAGGAGATAGGATTCACTGAATGACACATAACAACAACATATTGCAGAGTATAAGATGTGCCCACTGTCAGAACGAAATAGAGCCAAATACTTCTCAGAAGCAAGGCTGTGAGCCTCACATATTTCAGGCACGTTGGCAAGAGGCCAGTGTCTGGAAAAGGTAGAGTGGAAGGTCAGTGAGACGCACCGACACAGGAGCGGCAGCAATGTGACTCAGCACCCCTGGGGTTTGGGGATGGCTGGGGACCAGGCAGGGGGTTGATTTATTGAGCAGAGGGGCCCTAGGACCCAGCCGCACAGCCCTGACTCAATAGCACCCCCACCAACTGCCAGGATGGGTGTAGGAGCACATCTCCGTCACCGTCACCTCGCTTGTGACTATCAGTTGACCCTTTGTTGGGTTTCTGAGGCCTAAATCTTTACAGAAGGGAACTACTCCTCTTGCTCCCTCAGAGCAGCTGATGGGTTTGAACTGCTAACCTTTCAGTTAGCAACACAACAGGTAAAGCACTACAACACTAGAGCTCCTTAAGAATATGAGGAAGATGGTCATAAATGTTCAAAAAGTGGGATTTAAAGAGGGTTCTGGGGCACCGCACACAAAAGGGCTCAGCAGTCATCCAAAGTGTGGTTCTGGGCGGCCACAAACAAGCCCCTAACCTGCCCTGTGCTTCACCTGTGAGCTCCACACACCGCCACGCAGGTGTGCGAAAGGACTGTGGGGCGGAGCCAACAAGTGCACTCAGAGCCCAATGAACAGCGCCTGCCATGGAAGCAGGCAATAAGTCAGTGATTGCGTTTAAGTTCAGAGCACTATTTCACAGGATTTTAATAGGCATCCTTTTTCGATGAATAGGAACGACAGAAGAAGAAGTGCTGCCTTGGAGCTGTGGTGTTGGAGAAGAGCACTGAACATCCCATGGACAGCCAAGAGAACAAACAAATATGTCTTGGAGAGGGCACAGCCAGAATGTCAGAGGCAAAGATAGTGAGGCTTCATTTCACATACTTTGGGCATATTGCTAGGCGGGGCTATTCCCCGGAGAGGGACATGATGGTGGGAAGGGTGGAGGGTGAGTGAAGGAAAGGAAGACCCTCAACCAGGTGGACTGACGTAGTGACTGCTGCAATGGGCTCTTGTGTGTCAGGAAGTGTGAGGATGGCACAGGACAGAATAGAGTTCAGATCTGTTGTTCCCAGGGTTGCAATGGGTCATACTCAGCTGGACAGCACCTAACAACAACAACAACAAGTAGGCTTTATTTCTGTAAGTCTTGTAATTGAACACCTGTAATAGACTGTGTTAAGCAAAGCCAAAGAGCTCTCGTCACTGGCTGCGGTACTTCTTAGAGCCTTTACAACGGTGAGGTGAAGCAGGAATCTCCTAAAATAGACCATTCAACATTAGAAGCTTTCTACAAGACTGATGTCACAGGAACACAGTGAGCTTCTACTTCCAGACTGTCTCCAAGTCTAGTCCACAGTTTAATATCACTGGGCATGTATATTGGCATGTAGGAACGTGGGTTGTTAAAGACATAAGCATTTGTTGTTGTTGTTAGATGCTGTGGAGTGGATTCCACCTCACATGGACCCCTTGCTTGCAAAATAGATCTGCTCCAGAGGGTTTTCAAAGAGGGACCACTTACAGAATCCACGGGTGTGTTTTCTGGGGCTTCACGGAGTGCATCAAACCACCAGTCTTTCAGGTAGTTGCTGCTGTTCTGAACCATCAAGTCAGAACAGACTCCTCACTGACCCGCCAAGAGGGTTTTGGGAGATTGTGAATAGTAAGGGAAGAACTGCCCATCTCTCTCCTTCAGAGCAGCTAGCTGATTCAAACTACTGGCCTTTAGGTTGGCAGTACAGATCCTTAAGAGGTTAACTGTTCGCAACACCTCGGGACTCCTGACACAAACACTCCAACCGCCAACCAACCCACAGCCATCAAGTGGATCCAACTCACAGATGCTCTCTTCTGGGTCTGAGGCTGTAAATCACGGAGAGAAGAGACTGCCCATCCCTTTTCTTGTGGAGAAGCTGGTGAACTCGAACCACTGACCTTTCATTTATCAGTGAAACACATAACCTACTTCTAAAACATTGCCTACAACCAAAGCAAGGAGACTTGGTGGTCCAATTATTAAGCACTTCGCTGTCGATAAAAATGTTGGCAGCTTGAGCCCAACCTGAGACACCTACGAGAAGAAAAAATCTAACTCTAATAAAAAAGCTAGAGCCCAGGAAATCCCATGGGTCCATTGTATTCAGTCCCACGCAGCTGTTCTTAGTCAGAGCTGATGTGATAGCATCTAACAATAACTACCAAACCCATCAACAATCCGGGTCTACTGAATGTTCACAACGGCTCATGATTCAGTTGTGCTTGTTCACGCCGATTTTCACATGACTTACCCGTGATCCTTTCTCAGGAAAACAATGGCAAATGGAACAATCTCTTCCTCCACAAGGTCCAATATATTTCTTTCCACTCTGCAAAGCAAAATATCTTATTGAACACAATGGTATTCACCACTTAGCCATGTACGTAATATGGACAGATAACATTCTTAGTTTATTCATGTGAATTCTATGGTAAACTTTTGGTTTTGAATCTGTGAAACAAAATATGGATGTGTGGAAAGGTACATTACTTAAGTGTGGCATAGCTGAACATAGAAATCCCACATGACCCAGCTATTCCACTACTTGGACTATACCCTGAGAAAAAGAGAACTGAAGCATGAATGGAGACTTGTACATCAATGTTCATAGCAGCAAACATAGAAAGAATATGGAAACAGCCCAGACATCCAACCATAAATGAATGGATTGAGAAACTATGGTACATTCACACAATGGAATACTATGCAGCATGCAGGATCAATGATTTTCTAAATTATTATGTAACTTGGGAGGGACTGGAGAGCATTATTCTGAGTGAACTAACTCAATCCCACAAGGACACATTCTGTATAAAACCATTACTGTAGAATGAGTATAAAGATCTGGGAGGGGGGAGGATGGGAAGCAGAGGGATGAGGGGGTGTGTGGGGGGGAATTAATCATGGAATTGTACAACTTTATGGGTGAGGGGTGAGGGAAATTGGAAGAATCTGTTCTGGAAAACAATGTATTCAAATTATATAAATAGAGTAGCATAATAATAAAAAAATTGAAAAGTCTGTCTTGATCATAAAGAAGGTTAAATGTGCCAGCAAGAAGCTTCTAGAGTGGAGCGCAAGCTTGGAGGGGCCTTCACTCTCCGTCTGAAGCAACTTCACTTTGTCTATAATTCTCTGCAGTTTCTCTTTCCTCATAAAACTTAATTATCAAGTTGCAGACAGGCTTGGAGTATGAGCTGTGCAGTCAGTAAAAGTTTAGGGAAAGAAAAATCAGATGAAATCTAAACATGACCTTGTGTTCAGGTCTCTTACTTAACCTCCACGACGAGCAAGGGTCTGTATATTTTACCAAGTCCTCCTAGGTCAAGTCCCCAGTTATAACTTTGAACTTCACATACAAATTGTTCTGATACTGTTGCATGGCCTCTCTCATTCATCCTTTAAGCAGGAAGCTCTGTTGTTGTTGTTGTTATGTGCCGTCGAGTCGTCTACGACTCATAGCAACCCTATGTACAACAGCCCTAAACTCCGCTCTGTCCTGTGCCAATCGCACCGTCTCTGACACTCCCATCCCAATTATCCCAGTCACTGAATCAATCCACCTCATAGAGGGCCTTCCTCTCCTGCGCTGTCCCTCCACCCTCCCAAGCATGATGTCCCTCTCCAAGGACCGGTCTCTCCTCACAACATGTCCAAAGTATGTTAGACGGAGCCTCAGAATCCTTGCCTCCAACGAGCCACCCGGTTTAACCCTTTCCAGGACAAATCTGTTTGTTTTCCTAGCAGTCCATGGTATTCTCAATACTCTTCTCCAGCACCACAGCTCAAAGGCATCAATTCTCCTTCTATCCTCCTTGGTCATTGTCCAACTCTCTGATGCATAACAAGTGATTGGGAAGACCAAAGCCTGTATCAGACGCACCTTAGTCTCCAGAGAGACACCATTGTTCTTCAGTACTTTGGAGAGGTCCCTAACAGCAGACTTTCCCATGGCAATGCGCCTTTTGATTTCCTGGCTGCTGGTGCCAAGAATGTTGACTATGGAGCCAAGCAAACTAAAGCTGTGTACAATCTCAATCTCTTCACCATCCATCCTGATGCTGCCAATTGGTCCAGTGGTGAGAATCTTTGTCTTCTTGACATTGAGCCTCAATTCATATTGTAGGCTGCAGTCCTTGACACTCTGCAGCAGGCACTTCAGGTCCTCTTCAGTTTCAGCAAGCAGGGTTGTGTCATCCGCGTAACGCAGGTTATTGATAAATCGTCCACCAATCTTGACCCCACATTTCTCCTCATAGAGCCCAGCCTCCCGGATAATCTGTTCTGCATATAGGTTGAAAAGGTATGGAGATAGGAAGCATCCCTGGCGTACGCCCTTCACAATTTTGAACCATGCAGTGTTCCCTTGCTCTGTTCTGACGACTGCCTCCTGGTCCAAGTATAAGTTTCGCATTAGAACGATCAAGTGTTCTGGGATTCCCATTCTTCTCAGAGTCAGCCATAGTTTGTTATGATCTACACAGTCAAATGCCTTTGCATAGTCAATGAAACACAGACAGACATTCCTCTGGTATTCCCTGTTTTCAGCCAAGATCCATCTAACATCAGCTACAATATCTCTAGTACCACGACCCCTTCTAAACCCAGCCTGGACTTCTGGTAGTTCTCTGTTGATGTGCTGTTCTAGTCGTTTTTGGATGATCTTCAGTAAAATCTTGCTTGCATGTGAAATCAGTGAGATTGTTCTGTAGTTTCCACATTCGGTTGGGTCACCTTTCTTTGGGATAGGAACAAATACAGATCTCTTCCAGTCAGTTGGCCAAGTGGTCATTCTCCCGATTTCTTGGCACAACTTGGTGAGCATGTCCAGGGCAGCATCTGCTAACTGAAATATGTCAATTGGTATACCATCTATTCCTGGAGCCTTATTCCAGGAAGCTGTAGCACATCCATAATTTCTTTCTTTCCCCCCTACCTCAAGCTAGCTTTTCTTTGGCACTCAGAATGTCACCTCTAATCCACATACATGTTTTCTTAACTTTAATGTTTCCTCTAAACATCATCAATATTTGTCACGTACCATCAAGTCAGAAACTACACATAGCAGACCCTCTGGCAGGTTTTCAGAGGCAGTTAATTGCATGGAAGGAATTGCTCATCGTTCTCCTGGGGAGCCTCGAACTGTGTTCCTTGTGGATTGCTGGGCAGCTTCTTGCTACTAGGCCACTGAGTGCCCTGTGTTAGTTACAGGCTTATGCATATGTGTAAAGGAAAAGAAGAGTCTGTCTGAACTCATTTTCTTTACTATCTCACAATTTAGACTATTTTTGGGGAAATATACTCAGACCTAACTCTGAAGAAAATATCCTTAAATTAAATATATTAAGTATTTTTTAAAGTATATTGAGTATAAAAAAAAAGATATCTTTCAAAAGAAAATCTACATGGATTATCAAAAGTCTATCAGGATTTGAACCTTAACAAGAACCAAGTAATCAGATAAATTAATCTAGAGAGAAAAAAAAATTAATCTAGAGAAATGTATTTGAAGTTTCAGAAATTTATGACCCTTGAGTTCTGAGTGGCATAGTTATCTCTCAATGCAGAAGCATTAAGTTCAAAATCCTGATAAGGTTTTAAAAAATGAAATGAAATGTACGAGGCCAAGCTGAGACAGCCTTAGGTAACCTATCTCAACACTAGGTTCATTTAAGGTTTGGATTCACTGCTTTGAGTTTGATGAACTATGAAAACAAACAAAAATTCCAAGGTCAGTGATTCTATGACTTGATAATAAAGGTAAGTTTGTTTTTTGGTGCTGGTTTGGGTTTTTTTCTGCTTGATTTTGCCAAGCTTCACTGACATATCTGTAACAAAATTACCTTTCAAAGGCAGAAGGAGTAAGTTAAAAATAGATTAGCAAATTCTAATGAAGAAACCAGAGTAACCCATTTATAGAAGCCTCTGACTTGCCCCAACATGGAAAACAAATTATTTTTATCTCTACATAATTCTTCTACATTCGACATAGGCCCATAAACATAAAAGGAAGTGAATCCGGAGAGCGAAAGTGTATACCTAAAAAAAGAGACTGTACAAACAAGTTTGAAAAATATGAAAACAACATCTAGATTTCTTCACTTTGAAAGTATGAGCTACGTTCACGGGGAACATAACATTCATGAACTTTACACTAGCCCTTTGCCATGACCTTGAAAACCTCACTGCTGGGTTGGAACCAGCTCACAACTGACCTCCCAGCTGGTTTTCAGAGGCTGGGTAGCACGCCCAGGAGGAGATGCCCATCTTTCTCCTAAGAGGCATCAGGTGGATTTGAACTACCTCCCTTTGGATTGGCAGTGCAACCAGAGCTCAACAAAACAAGGCACACTAACAATAAGAAAAGCCTTAGTTTGCCCCTGAGTTAAGTGTTTCATTATGAACAGAACCAAGAATCAAGTGCCTCTCATTTCTTGAACCCCTTGCTACTCTGTTCTCCAGTACCAGGAGAAAGGGAGAGGATGCCAGCTTTCCCCCCCCTTTTTTAAACACTTTTTTTCATTTAACTATTTTTTCTTTTTTTAATTTATTTTTTTTATTTAGTTTGTTTATTTTTCATTTCTATGAACATCTACAGAGATTTTGGAATTCCATTCATTCATTGTTGCACCCTTCTCCCCGCACACCCTTC